TGTGTCACCCTGCAGTGTGTAATGCCATCAGCGGAACACAGCAAAGTTCTTACCGTGTGTTCCACCACACGAAAATACCCTGGCCAGGCTGTTACTTGGTCCATCCACACGTCCCGACCAACGTTTTGGGGAGGGTGAGCACGTGGGCACGAGAAGTCGTGGAGCTTTGCTTTCTGCTCCCCTGAGCACGCCCGGCTCTGTGACAGGAGTCCAGGTGACCACCCCGAGAGGAGCACTGGAGACAAGCCAAGGAGCAGACGAGCCGTGAGGCAGATGTGCCCAGGGTGGACGGCCTCCTGAGAGTTGGGCTGGCCTGTGGGAGCCTTGGCAGCAGCCCCCGGTCTCCAGCTGTGTTAGCCGGGGACACTGGCTCTGGGCCTTCTCCTGGGAGCGCCTGGGGAAAGTGGGCCGGAGGCGCTGCCTGAGGTTTTCTTCCAGAAGCTGCTCTCCATTGGTCTGAGTAGGTGTCCTCTTTTTAATCTGTGTTTATCCTCTGTACATAAATCATTCGGAAATAGGTGGTTTGAGTTCAAAACTCCACTGCAGCGTTTTCCTGAAAGACAGGTGGTTCTCTGAGAAGCAGTCTCCTGCCACTTTCCCCAGGGTGAAAGGGGACTTTTGTTTTCTACTGAGATGGTCATTCTGTCCCTTTCAAAGGAAGGCAGGGTTACAACAGGCCGGGTCCCTCTTCTGCCGCCTGCTGGTTTTGTTAGTAAGAAACAACTGCAGAGTGGAGCCCTCTGGCGAGTGGAGCACTCCCTGTCGAGCAACTGGACGTTGGGTGGGGAGGTGCTGTTGGGAGCCGGGACGTTGGGTGGGGAGGTGCTGTTGGGAGCCGGGACGTTGGGTGGGAGGTCCTGTTGGGAGCCGGGACGTTGGGTGGGGAGGTGCTGTTGGGAGTTGGACGTTGGGTGGGAGGTGCTGTTGGGAGCCGGGACGTTGGGTGGGGAGGTGCTGTTGGGAGCTGGACGTTGGGTGGGAGGTGCTGTTGGGAGCTGGATGTTGGGTGGGGAGGTGCTGTTGGGAGCCGGGACGTTGGGTGGGAGGTCCTGTTGGGAGCCGGGACGTTGGGTGGGGAGGTGCTGTTGGGAGCTGGACGTTGGGTGGGAGGTGCTGTTGGGAGCTGGACGTTGGGTGGGAGGTGCTGTTGGGAGCTGGACGTTGGGTGGGGAGGTGCTGTTGGGAGCTGGACGTTGGGTGGGAGGTGCTGTTGGGAGCTGGACGTTGGGTGGGGAGGTGCTGTTGGGAGCCGGGACGTTGGGTGGGGAGGTGCTGTTGGGAGCCGGGACGTTGGGTGGGGAGGTGCTGTTGGGAGCCGGGACGTTGGGTGGGAGGTCCTGTTGGGAGCCGGGACGTTGGGTGGGGAGGTGCTGTTGGGAGTTGGACGTTGGGTGGGAGGTGCTGTTGGGAGCCGGGACGTTGGGTGGGGAGGTGCTGTTGGGAGCTGGACGTTGGGTGGGAGGTGCTGTTGGGAGCTGGATGTTGGGTGGGGAGGTGCTGTTGGGAGCCGGGACGTTGGGTGGGAGGTCCTGTTGGGAGCCGGGACGTTGGGTGGGGAGGTGCTGTTGGGAGCTGGACGTTGGGTGGGAGGTGCTGTTGGGAGCTGGACGTTGGGTGGGAGGTGCTGTTGGGAGCTGGACGTTGGGTGGGGAGGTGCTGTTGGGAGTTCACAGAAGACTCAGGGCCTAAGGCAGCGCTGTAGCTTCCCTGTGGTCATTCAGCACTGAGTCAGGTGTCCATTATCACTCACCCTTGCACATCCTGGAAGTGACGTTGGCCTGAGGGGCAGTTTCCTCCCTAGCTGGGGACTGTCCCCTGCCCAGGTGTGGCTTCTTCGCTGTGGGCTGGTGGGTATGCCCCACCTTGCCACAGGGGTCCCATGACTTGCTGTCTGCTTAATGGATGAATGACCATTGCCTGCCTGGGTGCCCAGCTTTTCGAGGTGGGTCTGTGTGGAGAAGTCAGGATCCTGCACATCTGACTTTGTTTCATGTATCAGTAGCCTGGCCAGAAGGCAGGAGAGTTTGCCTCGCAGCTCGATGTCAGGGCCCGTGGTGGTGGGCCAGGCTGTCCTGAGTGGGCTGTGGGGGACAACAGGGCCCGTGGTGGTGGGCCAGGCTGTCCTGAGTGGGCTGTGGGGGACAACAGGGACAGTGGTGGTGGGCCAGGCTGTCCTGAGTGGGCTGCGGGGGGCGGCAGGGTCAGTGGTGGTGGGCCAGGCTGTCCTGAGTGGGCTGTGGGGGACAACAGGGACAGTGGTGGTGGGCCAGGCTGTCCTGAGTGGGCTGCGGGGGGCGGCAGGGTCAGTGGTGGTGGGCCAGGCTGTCCCGAGTGGGCTGTGGGGGACAACAGGGACAGTGGTGGTGGGCCAGGCTGTCCCGAGTGGGCTGCGGGGGACGACAGGGACGGTGGTGGTGGGCCAGGCTGTCCTGAGTGGGCTGCGGGGGACGACAGGGCCAGTGGTGGTGGGCCAGGCTGTCCTGAGTGGGCTGCGGGGGGCGGCAGGGTCAGTGGTGGTGGGCCAGGCTGTCCCGAGTGGGCTGTGGGGGACAACAGGGACAGTGGTGGTGGGCCAGGCTGTCCCGAGTGGGCTGCGGGGGACGACAGGGACAGTGGTGGTGGGCCAGGCTGTCCTGAGTGGGCTGTGGGGGACAACAGGGCCAGTGGTGGTGGGCCAGGCTGTCCTGAGTGGGCTGCGGGGGATGACAAGGACAGTGGTGGTGGGCCAGGCTGTCCTGAGTGGGCTGTGGGGGACAACAGGGCCAGTGGTGGTGGGCCAGGCTGTCCTGAGTGGGCTGCGGGGGGCGGCAGGGTCAGTGGTGGTGGTCCAGGCTGTCCTGAGTGGGCTGCGGGGGACGGCAGGGACGGTGGTGGTGGTCCAGGCTGTCCTGAGTGGGCTGCAGGGGACGACAGGGTCAGTGGTGGTGGTCCAGGCCGTCCTGAGTGGGCTGCAGGGGACGACAGGGTCAGTGGTGGTGGTCCAGGCCGTCCTGAGTGGGCTGCGGGGGACGACAGGGTCAGTGGTGGTGGTCCAGGCCATCCTGAGTGGGCTGGGGGGGATGACAAGGACAGTGGTGGTGGGCCAGGCTGACCTGAGTGGGCTGCGGGGGACGACAGGGACAGTGGTGGTGGGCCAGGCTGTCCTGAGTGGGCTGCGGGGGACGACAGGGTCAGTGGTGGTGGGCCAGGCTGACCTGAGTGGGCTGGGGGGGATGACAAGGACAGTGGTGGTGGTCCAGGCTGTCCTGAGTGGGCTGCGGGGGGCGGCAGAGTCAGTGGTGGTGGGCCAGGCCGTCCTGAGTGGGCTGCGGGGGGCGGCAGGGTCGGTGGTGGTGGGCCAGGCCGTCCTGAGTGGGCTGCGGGGGACGGCAGGGACGGTGGTGGTGGTCCAGGCCGTCCTGAGTGGGCTGCGGGGGGCGGCAGGGACAGTGGTGGTGGTCCAGGCTGTCCTGAGTGGGCTGCGGGGGTGGCCAGGCCAGGTGTTTTTCAGGGATCCAGTTTGCGATTGGAGCTGAGGGACGCAGGACCGCTGCCCTGTCAAGGGACCATGTAGAGCACAGCAGGCCTCTGAGTTCCTCCTGTCTCTCCTGAGAAGAGATGCTCTGAAGGGGTGGCTGCAGGCGTACCAGGCAGCCCTGCTGCCGACCAGCCCTTGGGGAGCCACCCCTCACATCCACAGGGGGCAGCAGGGTCCTGATGGTGTGTGTCCACGCTCGCCTACAGTTGGTGTGGGAGCCTGGGCCTCCTGCCCACTGGCCCCCACGCTCCCTGGGAGGGTGCAGTTTGGAGGCTGACCTGCAGGGCCTGGCAGCCTGACCTCTGACTGTTCACGCAGCTCCAGCTGTGTCTGTGTGTGGTGGGTGGCCGCAGGCCAGCTCCGGGACAGTTCTGCATGTCTTTTGTAGTTTTCCCTGCAGACGCAGGGGACCATGGCCTTTACATCACACCTGCTGGCCTCTTCCTTTTGGAAAGGTCCCTTTTCAGAAAGACTTTTGATGACCTCCAAGGCCAGCACAGGTCAGCACTCAAGCAAGCGGTCTGCTTGCTGTGTGACTGGTGCAGCCCGTACGGACGTGAGCGTGATTCTGCTCCCATGTGCCACTAACAGCTGGTCCGCTGGGAGCTTGAACTCACCTGCTAATGTTCACCTGTCACCTCTAAGGCCAGGTGATGCACAGTTGGCTTCTCCCAGCAGGAGGTAATGAACCCCAGCAGGGCACAGCCCCTCCACAGAGCACAAGCAGGGGGATTTTCCTGTCACCTCCCAAGATCCCTGGGAGCTCTCCCCACTGTGTGATGCCTCTGGATGGCTTGTGATTTCAGCAATCAGGAGGGAGCCAGAGGGAGGAGGCCGGCCCCATTGGGAGTGGGCAGGTGGCTGTGCGTGGGCCTCCTCAGGCCAGGCTCGGCACCACCTACGTCTCTGGGTCTCAAGCTGTGGCGTAGCACCTCTGCGTGCACACAGCGTTCTCCATGCAGAGTTAGGGTGGCCGGAGATGGAACATGACACTGTGGTGACGGGGGATTGTTCACAGGTGGCCACCATGGATGGTGAAGGGCGAAGGCCAGCCCTGTTGTGCTGAGAACAGTGAAAATGGTTTTAGATAATTAGTGGAACAGGTCACAACTGTCCCCAGGTCGTGTGGCTCCCTGGCTGGTTCGTGGTCTCATGTGATACGTGGAAAGTTCAGACGAGGGAGTTCAGGGGACATTTGGGCAGGGTCCCACTGGCCACCTGGAGGGAGGGCACAGGTGACAGAGGAGCCTGAGACCCCCTGCACACCTGACCCGAGGAGGAGGGAGCCCTGGCTCTCTGCTGGCTGGAGGTGTGGGGCCAGCGGGGTAGCCGGCTGGCAGGCTTCCTGACTTCTCGTCTTCCCGGCTGCGGAGCTACTTAGTGTGTTGGTTGCTGTTAAAATTTAGAGCTATTCGCGATGCAGTGTCGCGGTTTAAAAATGTGACCTGAGTAGTCGGGAAGACTGTCTCCAGTTCCTGGTTTGTTAGTACAAGCTCAGGGTAGAGGGTCCAAGTCAGGTCGGGCTCTGAACCTGCCCGGCGGAGGAGGGTGGGAAGCCGTGGTTCCAAGGCTGCCCTCCTGGCGCTGGGCTTTGACTCTAGCCAGTCCTGGGACCTGAGAGGCCCAAACGGGGCGTCCAGCCTGTGGGGTAAGTCGGACTTCTGGCCTGATGTGGCAGAGTGGTGGTGAGGCCAGCACCCTCCCCCTCCGCCGCAGGACTGCAAGCTTGGGGCTCACCAGGGACAGCGAGGAGGCGGAGCCTGAGTGGGCACTGCACTTCTGTGGACTTCTGACTGCAGCCCAGGAGCCACCAGACCTTCCATGGAGAGTCCTGGGGCTGAGTGGCCATGCCTCCGCTACAGGCTGCTCCCATGGGCCCATGCGCTCTTCCTCCCTACTCTAGCGATGGAGACTCTGAACATAGTTGTTGCTTTCTGCTCCCAGAAGATTTGGCCAGTATTTCCCCAGGTATGGACAACTAGGGTACCCATGGCAAGGAGAAGCACCCTCCCACCCTGAATGTAAAATGCTTCAGGTTTTCTGGGGATGAGGGAGTGAGGGCATGTTTCCTGCAGCCCTCTGGGACCTACGTGGTTTAAACATCCAGACACAGAGGCTTAGCAGCTCAGGGCACATTTGGATGGCGAGGGGGATCCTGGACTGTCAAGCTGCCTCCACGAAGGCTCAGTCCACAGAGCAGTGTGAATAAGCTGGAAGAGATGCTCAGAGTTCTGCGGTTCTCGTGCAGAGAGAAGGCACGTGGGCAGACATGTTGGGCTGGAAACGTGGTCTGCCTGGGTGGTATTCTCTGGTGTGTCCCAGGTGCTGCTGTTGGGAGGGCCTGGTACATTTGGGTTCTTGTTGTTGCTGCAGCTCTGGGACTCGGGGGCTGAGTGGCTGAGTGTGTCTGTCAGGTGGAGTGGAACTTTCCCTCCCCGCGTGCTCTGTGGCCAGGTCACGTCTTGGCCATTTAATCTCCTGGTGACATAACACTAACACTTGATAAGGACAGAATGAGGCCAGATAGCAGTCTGTGCCTGCTGTCCAGGGGTAGCGAGGCTGAGCAGGGAGAGGGCCAGTGGAGAGGCCAGTGGCCTCGGTTGTCTGGCAGGAGCCGTGCACTCACCCTGCTCCCGGCCTCCTCCTCCTCACCTCTCCCTTGCCCTCCCTGCCCTCTCCAGTCCTGCCCACTGTGGCCAGGTGTCCAGCAGGAGCCAGGGACTCCTTGGAGAGGACTTGGTGTCTGAGGTAGCATCTGCTGTGACTGTCCTGCGTGTTGGTTGTCCTAGGGGCGGAGTGCGGGGCCCTCTGTGGAGGACGCCCAGGTCCGTTCCCCCCCCCCACCACCACTCTGCCCTCCAGCACTGGAGGTGAGGTGGGCCAGCCTGGCTCCGTCCAGCCTGGGGCTCCGCAGGCCTCCAGGCTGGCCCTCCACCCCAGCAGGGCAGGTGTTCTGAGAGGGGACTCGTCCCCTGCCCTTAGGTGCACCTTGGTTTTGACGGGCAGGCCGGGTAATTTTGCAGTAAGGTTTTTAATTGAGATGGGGTCCTCATGACAGAGTTCCCCTCCCGAGCCATGGTCCGGAGCTGTCTGCACCGTCACATTGTGCATGGACACTACCCCATCCAGCCGCAGACTGCACATGCCCATGCCAAACTCTGTGGACTCCAGCCGCCCACTCCCTCAGCCTGACATCCGGCATTCCGCTTCCCGTCCCACATGGGGGTTGCTTCCTGGAACAGTTTTCACTGACCGAAATGTCCTGAAAGGTCCCACACCCTCAGGGTGCCCCAAATTTGAGCCTGTGAGTGCGTTGGCACATTCCCGCAGCACGGAAAATCGTGAGTCCTGGGCGGGCCCCCACACTTGGCCTGCTCCACCTGTACATGGACGTCTGGCTGGAAACCCCCGTATCTGGTGCATTTCCCCCACACCTGGCTGGGTCCCCCCACCTATCTGATCTCCCCTACCTGGCTCATTCCTCCCACACCTGGCTGGTCACCATTCCTGTGTAATTACCTTCACTTCAGGAAAATTACCTCCACATCTGTTGCATTCCCCCACACCTGGCTGTACCTCTCACACCTGGAAGATTCTCCCCATACCTGGCAAATTACCATGATACCTGGCTAGTTCCCTCATGCCTGGCCAACCACCCACACCTGGCCAGTCCTCCCTCACCTGGCTGACCACCCACAGCTGGCCGACGCTCCTCTCTCCTACACTTGATGGGCCCTCCTTTCCCTGGTAACCCTTCACAGAGCAGCCATGCCCCAAGATGGCTGCAGTCTGTGCCTCTTTGGCACAGGTGTGGCCGTCCTGCGTGGTGTGTCCTGGCTCCTGGCTCTGTGCTGCTTGTGAATATCCCCGAGTAACTGCAGATTGGTGTCTCGGCTGTACTGGGGACTCGGAGGTCTGGGGCAATGCCCGTGAGCCTCAAGGGCCCAAGGAAGGTCTCCTCTGTGAGATGATGTTGAGACCATCTTCCTTAGAGATGCTGGCCATCTAGGATAGGAGGTGTGGGAGGACACCGTGAGGGTGCCGTGTCTTCTCCCCAGCAGTCAGGGGCAGGGTGTCTTGCCAGGGACAGTGAACGGGGGTGGGGGGGGGTGGGCACGTGCTGCAGAGGCTCGGGGACAGTTCTAGCTAGAATTCCCAGAGGTTGCTTCCACTTCCTGGGCCTGGTTCCCCAGCCTCCTGGGGCACCATGAGCGCCCAGTGCCCTGCAGTGTGGCATTTGTCCCAGTTGTTCCATCCTGGTAGTCCTGTCCAGACCCGCAGTCACCCCAGATTGCGAGCCAGACCCCCATCCCGCGGGGAAGAGTTCAGGAAGCAGTGTCTGCTCTGCCTCTCCCGGTGAGCTCCGTCCCTGCGCTCTGCCTCTGAGCCCACCTGAGCTCCTGGCCAGGTGACCCTGGTCATTTCCTTGGAATCTTCTCCTTGCTTTTCCCTTTAAGTGGCTCAGAGAGACGTGGGGGTTGCCCAGCCCCCTGGCTTGTGGCTGATGCTGCAGATCTAACCCCCAGGCAGGAGCCACCTCCGCCCTCCAAGGGTGGGAGAGCAGCAGGGTTCCCTCCAGGGCTGAGGCGGGCTGTGCCTCTGCGCTCGGGGCACATGAGCACCCACAGGGTTTCTGTAGAGGTGTGGGACTCCAGCACCCTCTGCCTGTGTGGGTTAGGCTGTCTCTGCAGGTTCCAGGCTGGGCGAGTTCAGCAACGCCCTGGGGAGGCCAGAGCCGTTCCCGTGGGGCTGTGAGGTGGCATGGGGGGTGCGGAAGTTTGGTGGTCTCCTCGCCCTCCCCTCGTGTGCTCTGAACATGGCAGCAAGCAGAGTTCAGGTACAGTGACAGGAGCCCTGGCTGGGGCGGTGAGGAGGGCGTCCCGGAGTAGAGGGCCGCAGGACAGACCTGGCCCCCGCAGTGCCCGGACGCAGGGCCAAGGGCAGCATGTCTTCTCTCAGCTGTGGACGAGGCTGGCTGAGTGGGCTCAGGAGAGGGGCAGAGCTAGAGGAGCACCTTCCCTCCTGACTGAGTCCAGCCCAAGGCCTCCTGTGCCAGCATGTCCCTCGCGGCCCCGATGGCAGCTGTCCAGCCTCCCTGCGCTTCCAGAGTGTGCACATGCTTCTTCTGAGAACGTTTTTGGAAAGCACTGCCATGATTGGGTTGTGAGTGCGAACCCCGCGCACACAGGGGTGGTGGTGAGGATTTTAGTGCCACTGTGCTGCCGAAGGCTTCAGACGCTACGGGCGTGTGCGCGCGCGTGTGTGTGTGCACGTGGGCGTGCGCGTGTGCAGGGTGTGGGACTCAGCTTCTCGGCGCTGCCGGTGGTCTTTCTCGACCTGTGTGCACCAGACCCGGTGCCAGGGCCCCTCCAGCTCTGGGCGGGAGTCGCGCTGTGAGGTGGGTCCTGGTTCTGCCGCGGAGCCGCTCTCTTGTGCCAGTGCTGTGTCTGGCAGGTGGCCTGTCTTCAGGTTCCTCAGCGCCTCCTGCGCCTGCACTGCTCCTTCGTGCTTCCCGCCACCCTCTGTGGGGCAGCACCTGGGTTCTGCCGTGGACGGTGGCCATGGCCTCCCGACATCATGGGTCCTTTTTCTCAGCCTGAGTGGACAGTCAGTGGACCCGAATGCCGCAGTCTGGCTGGGCACAAGTCACGAGCCACTGAAGCAGGAACAAACTTTATTTCTGAACTCCACCAGCACGCTCCACGCACGCTCCACACACGCTCCCCGGAACTCCTCCCGAATGCCACGCGGCTCTTCCAGGCACCAGTAGCCGGAAATATCCTCTGGAAATCCCTCCTCCTGCACTTCCCCAACCAATGGGAACTCTCCGGGAATCCCCGGGGAATCCCCACGAGAACTCCAAAGTAGCGTGAGAACTGCAAAGTAGCGGCCGAGGCGGGTAATAATGCCTCGCCTGTCAGTCAATCCTATTGGCAGAATGCCAGGGGCCATTCCGACTCAGCTGTGGCTCTCAGCACCTGAAGCCTGGTGGGATGACTGAGCCCACTCCCTAACAGGAGCCAGCTCAGCTGGGGGATGGGCAGTGAGGCCCTGGGCAGGGAGGGACAGGAAATCTGCAATTCTGGTAGGATATAGACCCTCTGAGGTCAAGGCCAGCGAGCTCTGGGGGCACAGGAGTGGGTGAGGAGGCTCCGGGGAGGGGTGTGGGAGGGTGGCTTCCTGTCTCCACCTGCTGGTGGACCGGCCTGCTCTGGGGAGATCCTGGTCAGCTCTGGCCACGTTGCTGCCTGTGGCTCTCACTCCAGGTCCTCTGCGACCCACATTGCCTGTCTGTCCACACTGGTCTCTGTGTGTCTGAGCCTCGCAAGGTGCCTCACACTTGCAGCAAGTGGTCAGTCAAGGTTTGTTGACTCCAGTGACCACGTGGGCAGTCTTCCCACCACAGGAAGTCAGAAGGTTCTGACGTAGAGTAAACAGCTTAGACACACGGAGGACAGGCACCTCCTCCCAGAGCCAGTGAGTGGAGTGTGCGGTTGCAGCTGTGCCCAGCTCTGAGTCCTGGTCCCTGGACACCCTCTAGCACTGGGCTACTGTTTGAGGCTGATCCGTGGGTTGAGGAGTTTGGGGTCTGGGGTGGGCTGTTGTCTGAGGTCCTGCAGTCAGGAAGGCGGAAAGGACTTGGAGGGGCTAGGAGAGACACAGGAGCCCTTCCCTGAGCCACACCCACCCCGACTGCGGGCATGGGAGAGGTGCAGGCCCTGTACCCGAGGTGCCCTGGGATCCCAGTGGGTCTCTGAAAGAAGAGAAGGTATCCTGGTGGGGACAGTTTCTATCACCACTAGATGGTGAGGGATGCCATCTGTTTGGGGGCCTGGGGGGACCTCTGTCTGCAGAGGAGGAGCTGGTGGAGCATATTCAGTCCTAGGGCTGCCAATGCCCCAGTGTACTGTCCACAGATTCTAAAGAAGGAACCTGAGGACTCAGTCGGGAGGGCTGGACATTTCATC